TCCCTGCAGGGGCCTGCCCGACAGCAAGGGGAACCTGCTGCGCTTCATCCAGGAGGTGCACGGGCACTACCTGCACCAGCGTCCCCTGCACACGCCCGTCGTCGTCCACTGCAGGTAAAGCCCGGGGGCAGGTGCGGGCCTTCACGGCAGCAGCCCCAGCCCCGCTTCTCCCTGGGGGAGGTGGCTGCATGCATACGGCAGGGCTGTGCACGGTGCCCTGCAAACTACTCGGAGCCACCCTCCCCTGCCTCCAGGGGAAAGGCAGCTCCCTCCACTCGCCCCAGGGATGTCCTCTCTGTCCCCACCCCTGTGCTTGGGCCAGGCAGCTGCTCCCGCCCGTGGGTGCCTGCCTTGCTTTTCTTGCATCCCTGGGGCTCTGTGTTGTAACCCCCCCTGACGCCATGCCCTCCTCTCCCAGCTCGGGCGTGGGCCGCACGGGTGCCTTCTGCCTGCTGTACGCGGCCATGCAGGAGGTGGAGGCCGGCAACGGCATCCCGGACCTGGCCCAGCTCGTCCAGCGCATGCGGCGGCAGAGGAAGCACATGCTGCAGGAGAAGGTACCGGGCTGAGCTTGTGGAGGGGGCACGGGGCCGGGATCTCTGGCGTGCCCGGCCCTGCCCCTCACCCTGGCCTCCCTTCCAGTTGCACCTGAAGTTCTGCTACGAGGCTGTCCTCAAGCATGCGGAGCAGGTGCTGCAGAGACATGGGGTGGCTGCGCCCGCCGCCAGCAAGCCCCCCCCACCCAGTGCCGCACACAAGGTAGGGCTGCCTGAGCTGGGGAAGGGGCAGTGGCAGGGAAGGGTCTGCAGCAGCTTGCGCTGAGCTGGCCAAGGCCTGGTTGTTCGTGCTGGCTGCGTCCCCACTGCCCCAGGCACGCCTGATGCAGAGTAGGGGCCCTGTTGCTCACGCCTGCTCCCAGGCACCTGTGGGGGCTCGGCCTGTGCGGGGAGCGCTGATGGGACCAGTCTGACACGTCTTCCTTTTCTCCTTCCAGCTCTACGTGCACCAGGACCCGCAAGACCTGGTGCTGGGTGGGGACATGCCCATCAGCTCCATCCAGGCCACCATTGCCAAGCTGAGCATCAAGCCCTGTGCCCCCGGCCTTGAGCCCCCCATGCCCTGGCTGCTGCCCGAGCCGGCCCCCGCAGGTGACACTGGGACGGGCACGGTGCCCCCAGCCACCACCGCGGCAGCGCCTCCCAGTCTTGGAGACGGTGCCAGCCCTGTCCCTGCCGAGCTGCCCCCCACGTCTGCCCCGGAGGTGGCACCTGAAGCAGAGAGCAGCAACCACGTGGAGGAGATCCCAGGGCAGAGCCCCCCCGCAGAGCCCCCGGCCAGCGCGGCGCCCTCGTCCTCGTCGCTGGAGCTGCTGGCCTCGCTCACCCCTGAGGCCTTCTCGCTGGACAGCTCGCTGCGGGGTAAGCCCCGCGTCAGCAAGCAGAGCTTCCTGCAGCCCCACGACGGCGAGGGGCTGCGCGGCGCCCGGCCCTCCGACGACCCTCTCAGCATGCTCGACCCCCTCTGGACCCTCAACAGGGCCTGAGTGTGGCCGGGGGGGCCTCTGCCTCCGGCAGTGCCAAAGCCCTTGCCTGCCTCGATCCCAGCAGCCAACTGCAGCTGCTGGACGCGGGCAGAGCCCAGGACTTGGGGGCTTTGGATGTACTCAGCACTACAGCGATGCCTCTGGCTGCTCCCACCCACTCGGTACGTCCGGCCTGGCCTGCCGGGAGCAGCCAGCCCAGACGCATAAGGGGCCGGGCTGTCTCCTCCTGCCTCCGCGTTGAGCAGTGCCCTTCCCTCCCCAGCAGGAGAGGGGATTGGGGAGGCTGGGAGGGTCATGTCCCATCCTGTCTGAAGGCTCAGCTCTGGCTGCAGTCCAGGCTGCGCCGCCCCTGGCCCCCCGCTCACCGGCAGGGTCCCGGCGGCTGCCGCGGTTCTGCCTGGCTGATGCCTCCAGGGGCAGGCATCTGGCTCGCAGCTCCTTGCCCCTGCGCTGGAGACAGAGGGCAATTGCACTTTACCTGGGGGCAGCCAGGCACCGCCGGGGTCCATCTGGTGTGGAAGCCGGGGGCGGCGGGGCACAGCCTGGGCCTGCCCTCAGCTCTGTCCAGGGTGGAGGCTGTCTTGGAGGGCACCAAGGACCTCCCTCTGGCTGTGCGCAGCACTCCAGCTGCCTCCTGGCCCCGCGCTCTTCCTGAGCCCTGTAGCTGCAGGCTCTTCCCCGACACCAGGCCCCTCTCGGGCCGGCTGCCCCGTTGCTCCCTGCTCCCGCTTGGGGTCTGTGCAGTCAGCAGCACCACAGAGCTGGGCCTGCTTGCCTCGACCCGTGCTGGCGGCAGGCCTGCTGTAAAGCGTCCCTTCAAACTCAAGAGACTTCAGCTCGCTTCCCGGGGCCCGTTGCACCCAGCAGGGCCCTGAGCGAGTGGGATCCCTGCAGGCACCACCCCTCCCTCTGCAGCACCAGGGTTGCCAGCCTGGGAGAGGGGCCGTGGGTGCTGCTGCCTGCGCTGCACCCAGGAGGCTGGTGCTGGGCCACCAGCGCAGGCAAACCCTGATCCCAGCCAGTGCTGCGGCCTCGTGCTTGTGCCAGGAGCAGCTTCCACTGCTGGGGGCTCTGCCTGGCCTCTCTCACGCCTTGGGCCCCTGCTCCCCATGTGTCTGGGTGCAGCAGCTGCCGCCAGTGCCCAGGGAGCCCGGTCTGCCCTGCATGTAGCCGGGCCGTGGCCCGCAGCACCCGCCCTGCCTGGTCCAGGCAGCTCCACTACGCCAGGGTCTCTGCCTTCACCCGGGTGCCAGCATCTGTCTCCAGATTGCCTCTAACCAGAACTGACTTTTTCAGCTCTTTGCTACTAAAATAAACGGAAGGTTTGATCTGGCGCCGGGGGCTGCTCTGCTCGCTGCTTGTGGCGGGGGGGAGGAGGGGGCGCGGTGTTTTGGGAGGTCCGTAAGATGATGGGCTCGGACATGCACAATGAGGGGGCTAGCGCTGGTTCTGCCCTGGGCACAAGCACCCGCGCCCGCTGCATCTCCACTGCTGGCTGCAGCGAGCGAGCTGAGAACATGGCTGCGCCAGCGGGGACGCGGCCCTTCAGCCAGGGTCAAAGTCCGTGCGACGCCAGCTATAAAAAGGGGCTTGGCCTGGAGCCGGCAGCTTCTCTGGCACCATCTCCCTAAAAGTTATGGCCAACCAGGCTTGTGGCCGTCAGAGCCAGAGCGGTGCCACTCGCCTCCCAGGAGCTGCAAAGTGACCTGGTTTGCACACGGTGAGTGTCAGCCCAGTGCAGCCCCGCTTCCACGTGCACGTGCTGGATGAGTCTGTCTGCCCAGTGCTGTGGGCAGCCCAGTGTGGCGGCCTAGATGGGCGCAGTGGGTCCGCGCCCCTCTTCCAAGAAGGCAGGGTCGAGAGGCACCTTGTAGACCTGGAGCTCTCAGCCAGGGGTCCTGGGAGGGAGGCTGCACCACCCAGGTGCTGCATGCGCCGGTACATGCTCTCGTCCCCCATCTCGCACTGCTGCCGCCTTCCCTGCTAGCACGAGACCCCACAGGCGGCCCTTGCCCCTCAGCTCCAGCCCGGGGGCAGACGGGGCAGAGAGCAGGGCATGGCAGGGCCTTGCCCTCACCTTGGATTGGCGAGTCTCAACCTTCATCTTTTTTTCCCCGAATGTCTGTAGCAGCCGGTGATTCTCAACCCGGGGGCGCTGCAGCGTG